TTGGGGGGGGGGGGGGGATAAATAAAAATAATAAAATAGTGAAAAAATTAATTTTTGAGAAATTAAAAATTTGGTATATGTATGTGTATAGTTTTGTATATATTGGGTTGGCCAATGAATCTTTTCGCTTTTTTTTAAGGTAGCGTTTATTTCACGTCTGATGTGAGTATATTTGATGCCAACTTCACATACGTATATATAACTTAAAAGTTAACATTTTAGTAGATTATTAAGAAAAGAGGTGTGAAGATTGATTGTGTTTATTACGTTTCGCAGAAAGTTGAAAATGGAGGGAAATAAAGCGCATTTTCAGCACATTATGCTTTATTATTATCGTAAGGACAAAAACGCTGTGCAAAAGAAAGAAGATATGTGACATACGGTGAAGAGACCATAAGCGATCGACTGTGCCAATTTGAAGAGATTTTGCTAAATTTTGGTTTGCGAAGTTTCGTACAGGAAATTTCTTTGTCGGAGACGCTCCACATTTGGAAAGATCGACTAAGATTGATAAAGATCGAATAAAGGTACTAATGGAAAATAACACCCACGTCAAATGACTCGAGAGATAATATATCGAAATCCAGCGTTGAAAACTATCTACACAAGTTTGAATACCTGAATCGTCACGATATTTGGGCACGATTTAATCGAAAGGAATTTAATGGACCACGTCTCCATTTGTGATTTGTTGCTTAAATTCGACAACGAACCATTTCTTAAATGACCGGCGATGAGAAATGGATCATTCACAACAATATTCACCGCAAAAATCCTGAACTAAGCAAAATTAAGCACCACTGACCGCTCGAAAGGTTGGTTTTTATCCAGAAAAAAGTAACAATTTGCATCTGCTGAGATTGAACAGGTGTCATGTCACTTCGCACTATTACCAAACAATCAAACTCTTCATTTGAATAAGTATCGCCTGCAATTGGAAACTGCAGTCGATGAGAAGCGTCCAGAACTGGTCAATAAGCGTTGCGTTCTACCAGGATAATGTATGGAACAACCTCGATCGATCTTTCAGTATTATTTTTAAATCACATATATTCTGATTCACGCTGGTTATATGCAATAATATTCACTTATTCACTGATTTCTATCAATATCTCTGGAAATCAGCTTAAACGAAATCTCGAGTACTTTCGCATTTAATCGACGACTTTATTTCCGAACGTTTCCATTTTTAATTGACCTTGAAGCATGCTTTTTAAACGCGAACGCGGCTTCGATAATACAACATATTTATTCAACGCTATTTCAATCGAACGGTCGCACCAGACTCAATCACGCTGCGTCTTACATAATATATTTATGCTAATGTTATGCATGCGTGTGTACGCGCGTGTGTATTTGCCTATGTATTTGTAGTAAATATGAAAATTACGCTCGCTATTACTGGATCAGCGAGTTCGTCTCAAGACCGAGAAGCGATTCGCTCACAGCTCTCTTTCCTAGCTGGAATGCGATAGTTTGCGGACAGCCGCTGCGCTGCAAGGTCAACGCTCTGCTCCGATTTACAGCTGACCACATCTTCCTCCTCGCGACGACCGTCATATTTCGCCGCTCCGTTACGCCACGCAACGGAGCCGCTCCGCTGCTCCCGACCCTCTCTCTCTCTTTTCCTCCCTTGCCTTCTCTTTGTAGAACCGAGTCGATCTGGTTGCACACAGGCTTGTGTGTAAGAGCGAAACTCGCCAATTTCCATTCCGTTCGCAGGGTACGGAGTGTCTCCGACTTAAGCCCGTATTAGATTGGATATCGGACAGATGGATAGGTAGACGAATGGATTTATTATACGCTCGGGGATTATTCTTCTCAAATGATAAAGAATCGTTTCGGATAAGGAACGATTAACAAGAAGTAAATGTAGTGTATTTTTACATAAGACTGTAGAGAGAGAAGTGTTAATAATTGTGTTAGTTTTAACTTTTTAGGTGCTTTTATATATATAAGAATGAATAAAGTAAATAGAAAATAGAAAAAACAATGAATGAGAATTCTGTAATGAGAGAGAGAGAAATACAAAGTAAAAGTAAAGAAATTAAAAAGTTGAACAATTAAAAAATATATCTGAGTCTTAGAGATTGAGAAATGAAGCTTAATTGGAATGAGTAAAAAATCGAGATTGATCGATTCTTCGAGATCTTTTATCTGCGATCTTTAATTTCTAATCTAGTTTGGGAGCATGAGACTTCGAAACGAACGCGAACCGATAACGATCTTGAAACGTTGTGCGATGATGAATGTCTTTTGTGTATCGTCGGCGAAGTGCTGTACGCGTCAAACGCGATCATCATGATGATTGAGCAACATCTGCGTTATCTAACAGCTTCTAACGATGACTTCTCGTATCGGCAATAAAACTACTATGGCGATGATCCATGATCGCGTTAACTTCGCACGTCTTCGGAATTAATTTGTTGCCAAGTATGTATCGCATCGTTCAAAAACGATACAATTTGAGAATAAAGACGCAAAATTGACGACGCAAAAAAACAACACAAGATTTTTGCGGTTTTTCTCCTATTTGTGCCGCTTTCATATTAAGTCGCGAAAATAAATAATATATAAAGTGATATGTAAAGTAATAAATAAATAAATAAATAATAAATAAATGCGTGCGATATTGAAATTAAATCTCGGAATTAAATTTAATTTTTAAAATTAACGTTTCTTGGAAATGCTACGGATGCATCTATTTATGTTCGCAAACTCTATTTTCAGTATAGACTAACGACGTATAAATATTTATATTTCTTCGGCTTTCTTCTATTCTTCACATGAGCAACAATTACCAATTTAAATGGGAACTTATATTCATGTTCCTTTATTTATTTTAGCGACGGTAATAAAAAACGAAAGAAATTTTAAATATAGCTCTATGATTTGTTCAATCAAGAAAAAATGGCAAAAGTTTCGTAAGAGTCAGTTTTAATTCGGTTATTCCGACAATAATTCATCAATTTCAATAATCTCGAAGTATGTCGAAGATCACTGAATGTTCTTGACACAAAATTAAAAGCCTATATTTATTACAAAGTATAAAATATTAACAAAAAATTTGAAAGACAATTATTATCGCTCATTATATTCTAACGTACTTCAAGGTCATTGAAGTCGATTCTATTATACGTAATTATTTTCTTTATAATTCAAATGTCGTTGACAATAACATGATAAATAGCACTGTGAGCAAACATTCTTAACGAAACACCACAGGAAAAAGGAGAAATCTCTTTACACAATTAACAGTCGTATTTATACCATTTTAAAATCACATCAGTATTTTCTCTGATTTCAATGAATTCGTCTCTGAAAGGGTTAAAGAAGCAATGACAAACAAATAACAGACGATGAGTCAGATCGCTGCGAGAACGAGTGAGTTTTCGCGAGTGAATATTCCGAAAGGTTTAACACATGAATATACACAGATGCATCTTTTGAAGACACGTTGTGTATCGATGAATATTAACGATTAGTCGCAAATAAGCAGGGGAATCTATTGTTACGAGATTATGTTATTATTTACTCCCCATTATTTACTTTCTTTCACTGTTACCCGTTAACAATTAACATAATATTGAAGTGCATCGTATTAATTTGAAGAAAAAGGAGAATAATTATTTGCACGGCACACCTTCTGCATCACTCAAGTTTATGTCGAGATTTATGTAAGCCGAATGCAGAAAACGTGAAAATAATTAATTCATCATTTTATTTGCCTGACGTGGAAAAAAATGCAGTCATTTCTGCATATCGAGTCTTTCTTTTCCCAGGATTTATTGTCTTGCTAAATTTGTCTCTTTCTACGTTGATTTAGTTTTCCTTTCGCATTATGGTATTGAAAAAAGAAGTCTTTGTTAATTGCAATTGTAATTATATAATGAAATGAATACAGTTGGGGACCTTATCCTTGTAGGAGTATTGTAATAGTTGTAACGATAACAACCTTATGCATATTACTACTGGCACTTTTCTCTTATCGTTAGAACAAGTCCGACTGACCTTGATATTCTAAGATTAACCGTCTTTTGTTTTTCTCAAGGTACGCGTTGTTTGAGTCGATTTGAAAATGCAAATACAAGCAGCGAATATCGCAAATATATGTGAATATAAATTTCGAATATTGCATAACAATGTTATTTATGATCTCTGTAAAACGCTCTACAACAAC